AGGTGTTAAAAAGTTATAGGTAGTCTTCACAGAATATAAACCATCACTACTATCAAGCCATCTCCAAGAATCAAAGTTAGTGATCCCTATCTTTACCATTTAATCAACTCCCTAATCCGCTCTTCCTCACCACTAGCCCCTCTTGCACATTCTTGCCTCCATATACAATCCTATACCCAATTCGCACTATTCCAAAAACCCATATCCTTCACCAACTCCTCCTTTTTCATTGTAAATGTGAACAACCTCATAAATAAATTTTTTAAAGGTTTATCACCCACCTTATCACCACAAAAATCCACACAACTTCCATCCCCAACCTCCCATTTAAAGCCTTTAATTAACATTAAACCCAACCTTTTCGACCCTTTACCAACACTCATGATATCCTTTCACATTTGAGATATATTCAAAGATCCAAATGAAATAATATCCACCTCCTTCCTACCCCCATCATAATTCTCCCAAATCACTCTCTTCCATAAACCCGCTATCCCATCACCTAATCTAAACCACCATTTACCCAATAAAGCCCAATTACTTCTCTCTAACTTGGCCACCCCAATCCCCCTCTCATTTTCCATACAAATATAATCCCAACTGACCGATGCAATCTTCTTCTCCAAGTTTGTCCCAACCCAAAAAAAATTCCTCTGAATTTTAATCATCTCAACAAGTACATATTTAGAAATTTTAAATAAAGACATAAAAAAATACTATTAGAATGTTAAAGGATTAAAAAACTTACAGATGTGGTTACATGCTAGCATTGTCAAACAAAGTCACACTTACATTATCAAACTACAAGGCTCTGGAACCTAAATGGTTCATTTAGAAAACGAAGGCATGTGTTAACCCAACTCACAACGCAAGATCAAAGGATCATACAACCCATAAAGGCCTAACAAGAAAAATAGACTCTTAACAAGTACATTAATTAAGATGCTTTAATCGATAATTCAAAACAAGTAGAACTATAGTCAATATAAAAAGGAAAATTAATCTCTTCAATCTTTTCTAGTTGTCCTAAAAATTCAATTTGATATAAATTAACTTGATAATTTTACTTATATAGCAAACTAATGATAATTAAAAAGTTTTTTTGATCTCTATATGTAAAGTTATTATTATTATTATTATTATTATTATTATTATTATTATTATTATTATTATTATTATTGTTATTATTATTTGAATAAGGGCAATTTAGGGGTAGGAGAAAGGGATTGAACCCAGCCCCATACACACCTTTAACCAATCAACCTAAAGGCCAAGTGTGTCTATATATAAAATTATTTAGTCAAACTTTATACAAAAATCAAATTAAGATAATTAAATTGAATATAAGAGTGCCATAATTAAGGAAAAAGCTATACGCACAACACACAATGTTTATTATATAGTATATTGTATACAACAAGACATGATAGTGATGTGATATGTATAATTAATTCTTTTTATTTAAGTATCAATTTGTAATATTATATATATTTACTCATTTAGTGTTATACCATGTTATGTAATGCACAAGATAACATGACATCTCGATCCTCACGTCTTGGCTTAATGGTTATGACCTTTTGTCAAGTGAGGATCCCCTCCCATGAGATACGTCTTCAAACTCCATGGATGACATTTCTCCTTCCCCCAAATTACTATGTTTAAAAAAAAAAAAAAAAAGGAAGAAAAGAAAAGAAAGATGACGTGACATATCTAGAAAGTCCATGGTGTCAGCAGAATATATGGATTCACATAGAATCTTTTCCTATGGTAGTTGCTTTAACAACCCTAACCCTCATTCTTAATGAAACATGATTGAAGAATAAACATGACATTGTGCATGCTTATGTTTAATTATAATGTGTAGACTACGCCTTTTAGAAGATGGTAACATTAATTGCTTCGGTTTTCTCTGTATGTGCCCTCCTTGCTACTAAGCTGATTGGCAAATAATGCTATAAATAATCGAGTTTGAGTTGGACTCATAAATTTGAGTTTTAAAATGGTACCAAAAACAGGCAATATATAATCTAAATTCATAAACTCTGTGTGGGAACATGAGTTTCAATAGAGTGTATTTGAATTTGGGGGTCTAAATTCAATTAAACTGTTTGTTTTTACAATTTAGGGGTGTAATTGAATTTATACAACATATGGGCATTTTAAGTCATGGATTTCAATTTCAAAGGCAAAAAAAGCATGTATTTAAAAACATTCTCTTACCATAGATTTACAATATACTTCAACATCTTTGTTTTCTTCCTTTTTTCTCGTTTGGAATACCATAATTTGAATTTTATCTTCTCTGAAAGGCTATGGTTTCTTATAGTTATATCCTCAAAGAAGGCTTCTCACCCAGCTTCGGACCTCTGACTCCATCCCTATGATGCTGCTATTCACGATTGGTTTTTCTTATTTATGCTTTCTTCTTTCAGGGATAATAATTTCTAGTAGTCATTCTTTGCTAAGGGTTTTTATTTTTTTGGCCTAGTATGATAAGTCGGCTGAAAGGGAATACCTGAAAAGTGTTGGTAAAATGCTCACAAGAAGCAAAAAATGTACGCCAAGGAGAAATAATGGAGTATGTAGTATGTTTACTATAAATGGCCTGCTAACTGTTTGTTAAAATGTCCGAATGAATTGGATTCGTAAAATTCAATTTCAAATTCATGATATTTTAACGTTCTCCTTTCTTTTAGGTTCTAATGAATAACAACAATTACTAACTGACCACGTCCTATTGGTGGACAGACTCAATTTCAATAAGCAAAACATACAAACCCTTGATCGAAAGAATCACTACTTCTCAATTATTTTCAAGAATCTGACTTAAAAATCCCATAGTGATGAGAATCTAACCGTGATTTTAGGGCACAAAATTACAAAATTATATATTCAAATAAAAAAAGGGCGGTGTTTTTAGATAAGAAAAAAATAATAATAAGACTCATCTGAGTGGGTTCTCTTTGAAAATTTTCAATATTGTCCCAATATGTGGGCGTATTCCCAATATGTGGGACTATTTATACATACATATATATACTGATATTGAAAATGCATCAAAATTAAAATATTCTTTCGAAAATTGAATGGACAAGCGGAGCCACGGTTGAAATTTTTGAATAGACCAAATGGGCACATGTGAGGCTTAAGCATGGAAACAAAGGAGCGCTTTGATAAAAATTCTCTTTGGAGGTATGCAGGGATATCCTGCATTGTATATAGCAAATCATACAAATCATTATCCAGACTTAAAATGATTTCTTAGTACCTAAACATAAACTGTTGTGAGATATCAATCCTCAAACTTGATGCAGGTGCCAGTATATCATTCC